AGACATTCACGTGACCTAACTGGCTTGCGTAGACACCCATGTTTGCAGCCCCTGCTTCTTACAGAACTGATGACACTGAATTCTTGCAAGACCCTGACCGAGTAGAGAATTCTTCCTCTCGTTTCAAAGGTGAGTAAACTTAGTTTCGGGGAGATGAAGTGATTTGCTCAAGGTCGCCAGAGGGAGTGGGCAGCCAAGGTAGAGTTCACGTTAAATCTGCGTACTTTGTGATTACGTGATGCTCAGGCTCCACTTTCGTTCATTTTTCTCTTGTGCGTGGGGCCGTCTTTTGTTTCTGTTTGGTTAATGGTCAGCCTCTCTGTCACACACTGTCATCAAAGTGAAGAATGGCTCTTGAGAAGTGCCACCATCCATGATTTTTATGCCTGGAACACAAACGTGATTATTACAGAAAATCACTACTTCCTCCCCCACTCCGTATCAGATAGTCGTATTTTAGTGATAATAGACGACACTCTGTTTTTTTTTTTTTATTTTTTTTAACGTTTTTATTTATTTTTGGGACAGAGAGAGACAGAGCATGAACGGGGGAGGGGCAGAGAGAGAGGGAGACACAGAATCGGAAACAGGCTCCAGGCTCTGAGCCGTCAGCCCAGAGCCCGACGCGGGGCTCGAACTCCCGGACCGCGAGATCATGACCTGGCTGAAGTCGGACGCTTAACCGACTGCGCCACCCAGGCGCCCCAAGACGACACTCTGTTTTTAAGTGAACAGTAGACTTTGGAGATCAATTCTTACAAAACACAGTGTGTAAGGTGAACACTGTATTTCGGTTACAGTTTCTTTCAACTAGAGCTTACCAAAAGAAAAAAAAAAATCAACAGGACAAACCGATCAAAAATAAGCCACCCGGCAACAGAAGGGGAAAACAGTGCTTAAGAAAGAATGTACTGGCACCAAGGGGCGCGCCTGAGTGGCTCAGTCGGTTAAGCACCGGACGCTTGGTTTCAGCTCAGGTCATGATTTCATGGTTTGTGAGTTCGAACTCTGGGTCAGGCTCTGTGCTAACAGGGTGAAGCCTGCTCGGGATTGTCTTCCCCCCTCTCTCTGCCCCTCTTCTACTTGCATTATCTCTCTCTCTCTCACTCTCTCTCCCTCTCTCAAAATAAATAAATATTTTAAAAGAAGAAGGCACGCTTACCTGCTAACAATGGCTTGTGGCATCAGTATCAAGCTGGAACATACCCGCCTGGAAAGCTGCTCAATCGGATTGAGTTTATCATACATGGGTCAGGGTGATGTAGAAGTTACAAGCAAATTGCTGGAGTCCAACTACTTGGGTTTAAATCCCAAATTCCAGCCCTAGCAGCAAGGTGGCCTTGAACTAATTGTCTGACCGATCTGGACGTTAGTATTTTCAACCATGAAATGAACGCATGAGGCCTTGCATCTCAGACACAGGCAGTTGCATTTAAACAAACAGAGCGTAATCCATGTCTGGCATGTAGGTAAGTGTTCAAAAATACTAAAGGGGATGGAACCCTGTAATCCTGAGCTTTAGCACCGGTTCTCAGGATGCTTCAGGAAGGACTTTAATTAAGGTCTTGCCCATCCGATCAATGTCCAGGGGTTAAGGTGTTAGGGTTTTGCACATTCTAGTCGTATCTAGTTGTATCGTTATTCGGAGGAAAAATAATGCTTCAAATCTCTTGCCCAGGATTAGGGGTTTTTCTATGTTCCCCACTCCCTTGCCTCATCCTAGGAGCACTGAGTGGCTAAGGCAATTAAAAACCTGAAAAGGCAGAAACTCTTGTATATAAACAGAAAGCTGTGACTGGAGAAAGCATGGAGATCTGTGTTATAGAAAGAAAAATGTTATCGCTGAAGTATCTGGGTAGACGAGGACAAGAATGCAAATGTGATAGCAAGTCTGAACATTGCTCATGCTTCTCTGCATTTCTGGGGAAATGAGCATTAGACACATTTATGGGAGAAAATCAAACGCTTATAGATGCACTTGACTTCCCCAGGAAGCCTTCCCTGACCTCCCGTTGGTGCACGGTGCTCCTTTGTACTTGTGGTAGAGACTGGCTAGCTGCTCAGCTGATTTAATTCCTCTTCCTGTGCACACAAGATTCTTATTTCCGGCCTCCAAACAGTAGCTTAGGCCCATGTGATGTTTGGGCCAATAAGATAAGAGAAGTAGAAATACAAGCCCTTTCCAAGCCTGGCCATAAAACAATCATCTACATTCTCTTAGGTGGTGTCCTTAGATGCCACAGATTGAAATGGCAGCCTCACAGGAGGAAAGGAGCTTGGATCCATGTCACTGTTTGCAAAGTTGCCAGAAAGATCCTCTGCATCCTCATCAGGCTATGATGATGTTTGCTAGAAACAACACTTCAGTGTGTTAAGCCCTGAAAATCTGGGGCCATTTATTACAGAAGCTAGCATTCATGACCCTAAATAATACAAACGTCTCATATGACACTACACTGAAATCGACCTCAAAATTATTTTTCAGATGACATGTGGCAATTTTGATGCCATTCTGCCAGCTCATTCTAGAAAACCTAGGGGAGACTATTGGTCACTGAGATGGCTAATTACGTGTCATCCTGAGTGGTCATGGAAGGGGGGTCCACATTAAACATTATTTCTGGATGTGTCTGTGAGGGTGTTTCTGGATGAGGATAGCACTTAAATTGGTAGATTCAATAGAATGCCCTCTCCGGTGTGGGTGGGCATCATCCAATATGTTGAGGGCCTGGATAGAATGATAGGCAGAGAAAGGCAGCATTCCCCTCTTGTTTTCTGCCTTAACTCTCTCAGATAGAACATCTCATCTTTTCCTGCCCGCAGATTGGGATTTACGCCTTTGGTGTGGCTGGTGCTTAGGCTGTTGGAGTTGAACGGAACTACCCCACTGAATTCCCTGGGTCTCCAGTTTGCAGATCATGGAACTTCTCAGCTTTCATAAATCCATGAGCCGAGTCCCCGTCAAACGTCTCTCTCCATGTATTTATAGATATAGATATATTTCTAATACAGTTGACTTTCTGTCTTGTTAAACAAGTGGGACAGAAAATACCAAGCCCAGTCAGTCTCACAAATATCTTATTGACTACATGTTAATATAGCTGAATCTCGAGGGATACTTAACTGAGAAAGAAACACAAAATAACCTGTTTTACATACCCCAGATTCTGTTTATTTCAAGATCTGTTTTAAAATGTCTCTGATAACACTAAACAGCATGCTCTCGTTCTCTGAAGCCAGCTGCTCTTAAGGGCTTTCATTAATACATTGTAATAAGTCTTGGGACTGATTTTCAATTAACAGGGGCTCAGCCAATTGATAGTTTGTTTAACGAAATGGTGTAATGAGGAGAACATTCACCCTTAAAACCATGACCCTTATTATTTTTGTATGCCACATTCATGGAGAAGTTGATGAAATTGATGGGCTTTCTCCCCATGAAAACACACACAGACATGTCACTATTAACATTGGGACCATCTTTTAGGGATACTCTTGGACCCCAATGCACTCTCAAGGATCCAGGAATAAAAGCTTCTGGTAAGGATGGGTAGCTGGTCACTTGGATCAGTAGCAAAGATGTTAGAGAGGGTATAGAACTGAGGATGTTACAGAAGACAGGTTATATCACTAAAAATGCTCTTGAGACTACCGTAGTCCCCTCTTATCCACAGGAGATACATTCTGAGAACCCCCAGTGGACATCTGAAACCATAGATAACATCGAACTCCGTATCTATGATGTTTTTCTTTCTGATGCATACAGGCCTGATGCATACAGGCCTATGAGAACGTTTTTCAAATGTTTATTTATTTATTTTGATAGAGAGAGAACACGAACAAGCGGGGGAGAGACAGAGGGAGAGGGAGGGAGAGAGTGAGAGAGAGAGCGAGCGAATCCCTAGCAGGCTTCATGCCGTCAGTGCAGAGCCTAACACGAGGCTCAGTCTCACCAACCGTGAGATCATGACCTCAGCTGACATCAAAAGTTGGACGCTCAACTGACTGAGCCACCCAGGTGTCCCTAAAAGTTTAATTTATAAATAAGGCACAGTAAGATATTAACACTAATAATAAAATAGAATGACATTATATATACAGTAACAAGAGTTATATGGATATGGTCTCTCATTCTCTCAAAATATCTTGTTTTCTAATAAAAATTTTTCTTTTAGTGTTTATTTATTTTGGGGAGAGAGAGAGACAGAACATGAGCGGGGGAGGGGCAGAGAGAAAGGGAGACACAGAATGCGAAGCAGGCTCCAGGCTCCGAGCGGTCAGCACAGAGCCCGACGCGGGGCTCGAACCCACGAACTGTGAGATCATGACCTGAGCCGAAGTCAGCCGCTCAACCAGCTGAGCCACCCAGGTGCCCTCTCTCGAAGTATCTTATTGTAGTACACTCACCCTTCTTCTTGTGATGATGTTGAGATTATAAAATACCTAGGTGACAAAGTGAGCTGGATGACATAGGCACTGACATAATATTAAGTTACTATTGACCTCCTGATGCTACACCAGAAGTTGGGTCATCTGCGCCCAGGCCATCTGAGACCACAGATGAAAGGAGGACTACTGTAATTACCATTTGCTGAGTTCTGGCTAGATCATCTGGTTAGACACTGTGCTAACGTTCTAATATATTTAGTCTTTATAAAAGTTTGTGATATTATAATTGCCACTCTACAAACCAGAAAATGGGCCCAGGAAGTTAAGAAATTCACCCTAGGTTGCATGGTAGGAGGGGACACTAAATTCCAACCAAAGTTCATTGTCTTAATTACATTGGGATAGGTGCAAAACTCATAGAACCTAAGTCCGATTTGCTAATGCGTGGTTCTCAAGGGCCAGGGCCATTTGGAAGTCAACGTTTTTTATCCTCTAACTAAGCACACTCAATTGGAATTCAAGACCTTGTGGGCTAACCAAAGGACAACCAAGAATTCATGGATTTAGAAACAGCATGCATGTTGACAAATTATTGAAAAGAGACAACTAGATTCCAGGTCTGTATACGGCAACTACTTTATTATTTTCAAATGCAAACTCTTTGCATTTAGTTTGCTATTTTACAATTTTACAAACTAGGTATAAAAGACCATAAATAAATGACATAAGTTATGTGTACCTAAAGTTCATGAAGGGAAGAAAAATACCTTGACAAAATAAAACAAAATAGAAAAATCTATGTCTAACTCAAGAGAGCGCTCAAATTTTGGAACATGTACGAACCAAGCAGTGTTCTGTTAATTTCCTTTATGGTATGAACTAAATTATAATAGGCCTTGTACATTCTAATTTTAACCACAGTCCTTGCATATTCCAACATACTTGGAGTGATACAAAAAATAAATGCACTCTTCAGTGTGTATCAACGCTTGATGTTTGGAGAATGTTAAGTGAAAATATTGCTTCTAGAACTTTCCTTGACTGGTCAGAATTTGCGTGTCTTCGGACCAACATTGAGGCTATACGCGTGTATGGATTAATACACATATCCTTCACAGATCGAATACAAGAGTTCTCAAAACATACACACCAGTAGTGTCGTGAACACAACCTGTCTCCAAAATCACTCTTTGAACACACCAGAACGTTTCCTCCATGACTGTTAAAAATAATTTGGGGCCGGCAGACACATGGTGAAGCTACTCGATTTGGTGCAGGGGAACAGCTTAATGCTGCCCTAATGGAAGATCTGAGCAAGATTCAGCATCTGAACTCACTAGGCCAGCACTCGCTTATGGGGCTAATCCAGTCCCCTGAAGTTGGCCTCCTGCCCTGACCTCTGGGGAAAGATGACCAGCTCAGAGATTCAACCTCATTTTTTTATACATATTTTTCAGGCATCAATGCATAGGCACATCCCTTTAAAAATATAGTAAAGTCCCCAAAAAGGGGTGAATTCACTTTGTCACTCTGGCATAGCTATGAGAATACAATGCCACACACCCTGTCAGAATGTAATAAATATTTATTGATGATGTTCTCTACTTCTTCAATAGCATAGGGTTCGGAATCTTTTTTTTTTTTTTCCCATTTTTCCCTGATTTGATGTTATAGCTTATGTAAACGGCCACAGTCTCTGCAACCGTAGCTGAGAATACGCAAGGCAGCCACTCAGATTGTGAAAAAATGGCAGTATGTTGGCTGGAGTTGGGTACACGTGTCCTATCAGAACTGAATCTTCACACACTGGACCTCAGATTCTAGAAGGCTAAGGACCATAAGAGTTAGCTGCATATGAATTAATTGTAGAACTCCTCCTCTAAACTGGGAACCTGAAATCACTTGAGGACATTTAATCCCAACTATGCCAACCTCAAGAGTCACCGGCATGTATTTTTCTGTGACATTGAGAGACAAAGTATTAACCCGGGACACATCATCTCAAAGCCGACACACGCGTCTACGTTCATCTCCGAAAGCGCATGGGTTGCATATATTTGTTCTCATTCAACGAGTCCATTTATGCAGGAAAACAAAGGCTACTTCTATTCCACTTGGGGTCACCAGACAAATTCCATCCCCTTCTCTCTCTCTCCATCAAGAAATTGGTGATTCAGATGGGAAGTTCAGTCCGCATTAATGATCTCGACGATGGGTCGTCACCCGCATGGATTTATATTCTAAAATTACCCCCCTGCTAAGGTGAAAATGCCTCCATCCAAAGCTGTCGAATTACTTATTAAGGTTAGTGTGGCAGTTACGGAACACACTTCTAGATACAGGGCATTGAACACTTCCGGGCTGTCTTTCTGAGGGGACGGGTGCGGTCTCCAGGCCCACTGTCGCACGCGGCTCGTAATCTCAGGACCGGTGGAAAAACCAGCACTCTCCGGGTGTAGCATTCCACAACATTCGCAGGCAGGTCTAAGCATGAGGTTAGACGCTCACGCGCACACACACCCGCGCACTCGCACACTCACACCTATGTACACACATCAAAAGAGATAGTCAGCTCATATTTAGTCTAGGAAAAAAATATATTTATATCACTGCAATGGCACACCCTGGGTAAAATGTGACTTCAGCAATGCATATCATAGGCAGCTCAAGGGAACTGGCTTTGTTTTGCGTAGTGGCACCTGACCTGGTGTCCGTCGTAAGACCTGTAGCCTTGGGTCACTTGCTGCCGCACCAATGCAGCAGTGACGCACAGGAATGAGATACGGAAATACATATAAATAAAACCACAAGGAGTTTAGGAACAAGGGCTCTGCGGAGTTGGTGCTGCGAGGCAGTCCGTTCCTCAGTGCAACGGGAGAACAGGTGCTGAGCCTCGCACGTTTGCTGTTTCTTTCACTGGGAAAGGAGACTGGAACGTCAGCCATTTGTTCTTTTCAGGTACGGGGGTTGTTTCATCAGGGTCTTTGCTCCAGAACTGGCAGAGGGGAAGCAGAAGAAACACATCTCGAAGGGACTGAGGAGGGTGTGTTCTGTTTTCTTCTGTGGGCTTTGTGATCGACAGGAAGGGCTGTGAGGCCAAGATAGCAGAATCTACTCCCTGTAGAGAAAGGAGCAAGATTTTAGACAAAACAGCAACCAATACGGCCAGCCAGTTGTCAGCCAACGTTACGGGCAAGAACAAAGCACGTAAGGGTCGGTGTGGCTCAGTAAGAAGCAGCTCAGGAGGGAGAGCATGAATTCCTGCTTTCCTCCTCTGAAACAGGACCACTACAGTAACAACAACAACAACAACAACAACAACAACAACAAAAGTGTTTATTAGTAGCTTAATTATAACAACTTGGGGAAGGGACTCGTCTTACTCCTATCACACGGATGAGGCCATTGAATCTCAGCAGAGCCGAGCAATCTGCTCACGGTCATGTCACACATGGCGAAGGAGCAAAGCGGGGATTCGAACCCACACAGTCTGAGTCTATAGCCATGCCTTATCCACTGGGCAAACAGCCTCTGTGAGATGAAAATTCTGACTTGTGATGATTCATTTGTGTAAGAGGAGAAAGGTAAAATGATGTGAAAGGCAAACTGTGTTACAGGTAGAGCCCCGGATACTAGCTCCCAGTATTTCCAAAAAGGGAAATTGTGTGTTGTGGGAACAGATCTGGAAAACGCCACAATCCGCCATTATTCAACGACATGATTGGCAAAAATGCAAACGAAGAAATAAAAATCACCGAACGTTTTTCTTACAAAGGAACTTCTAATGAAAGAGAGTATCTGGTAAAGGAGTCCTACGAGTTGCATGGACCAGGCACAGAGAGGGACCCTTTGGGCCGTGGCACGGGGAAACATTTGGTGTGCCAGTGAGAAAGGTTTTGGGGGCTCAAGCCCACCAAGAACTAATCAGTCACGACTGCCCCATCAGTCTAGCACTGGGCAGATCAGCGCGATGCAATGGAATCATCGTGGCTCTCCACTGTCCTCACAATTATCAACGCAAACCCGAATAAGCAGTTCCTCTTCTTTCTTTTGTGACAACTGACAATCAAGGTAGCTTTGGGGACTGTGTCTTCCACCACAACGGCGTGTTTGGCAGCGAATGACCTCAGGTATCGAGAGAGCGAGGATTAAGGCCGGAACGTATCTTCAAAGACAGTTTAGCTCGTTTTGTTAAACCAATCGTTTACATGCTGGTTTTGAACCTATGTGTGTTTGCCGTGTGTGAGATATAAATCCAGGTTAGTTTCTTTGAGGTCAATAACCATGATTTGGTCTTGTAGAGAACACTTCAGTCTATTTGGAGAGAGAGAAATAAAGTTTTCTTATAAAATACTCAGATAGAGATTACTTCTTAAGCAACTTAAAACTATACATGTGGGTACGGTTATAACTAGCAAGCCCTCCCTGCAAGAAGCCTCTTGTCAACATCATTCATTTTGACAATTATGGGGGGGGGAAGAAAGAAAGAGAAGGATTTGGATCTACTTTTCCAGCTGTGTCTTCTCTGGAAATTAGTACGTCTATCAAATGTAGTTCCTGAAACCTGACTGTGCAGAGACTTAATCAGGCAGGCATGTATTTACATGCAGGACAAGGAGAACAGGAGTATGACCTTAAGACTGTTGGAACACAACCAACGCCATATGGATAGGCACACTTTTGGAAGGTGATTTTGTTGTACTGCTAGAAATCCCACTCTTAGAGGAGAAAAAGGAGTCCCAAAACACTTCTGTTCCCTTTCAGTTCCCCAACCCTCTTCTTCACTAAATGCCTGGATATAAATACATGTTATGAAAATAGTTTGTAACAGGAAGTGGGCTATTTGGGGACTCACTGTGTATGTGAAAAGGGTTGGATGTTTGAAGTGACAAGGGTAGGAAATATGAAGGATTGTATCTAGCCGATGCCAGAATATTCTAGGGTGGAGAAAAATAAACGTTAGCTCCTTTGAATGGAGACAACCTCTTTATCATGGGGAAGTGTTTGGACAAAGACCAAAGCATGTGGTCTATGTGGCATCATGAGGGAAAGATGTGACTTTCACTGCATCTAAATAAACAAAGCATTGTTCCTCTGAATCCGTTATGAAGGCATCAAAGTGTCTTTACCATCCAGTTCCATTCGTTACAACGGGATCTGACTTGTGCATTTCATTTTTTTTTTCAATTATAAAACAATGTCACGAATTTCAAGGCTAAGCGACAAAGGAGTATTTGGTAGGTCTACAAAGGTAGGTGTACCTTTTGTACAGACACACGTTTAAATCACATCCTCACGAATCCATTTAAGGTGAAGCGGCTTTGCGGGCACGGCTCCTACCACTGAACTTCATTTCACCTCACTCCAGCATGTTGCAATGCAACATTTGGGTTCGCGAGTGAAAGACGGATGAGCAGCACCCGGGAAACCTTGGAGGAGGAAGAGCGCACCTTCCTTCCGTGAAGTCCAGCGCGTTCTACATAAGAGCGTGTCACGTACGCTTACGACAACGCCGTGTGTTAGGAAAGGTGTTATTATTGAAGTTATCACCATCTCTAATTTACAGGTGGAGGATCTGAGTTATAAAGAAACATGGACTGAATTTCCCAGTGTCAACATCTCAGCTGGCTTTCGAATCCATAGCTGTCTGGACGCCAGAGCCTGGCTCCGTGCCCTGGGAAACAATGCAACCTTCCCACTGTCCTCCTGTTTCTCTTCTAGAATGTGTAACTTCGCAGAAGCAGTGAGGTTTCACTTTTACAGCTACCGGATATTATTGTGGGCACTCGGAGGGCCCTCCGTTGGCCTTTCCACTGGCCTGGACTCTACCTCCTATGCTGTTTTAAAATGAAGATTCGGAAGGCAACCTTTGAACGTCGTAAGATTTCACGTCCCACCTTGCAATCCTTGCCTGATGAGCTCACGTACACAGATACGTGCTGAGAAAACAACACAACGACGGCCGCACAGTGTCCAGCATTAACTCGTTAGGGTATCTGAGAGCTGACACGTTCTCTTTTTAGAAACGTTCTGCTTTGAGTATGTTCAGCGTTTAGAAAAATAGCTCAAGTCTTAAGCTGCTGCCTCGAGGAAAGCAAGACTTCTAATTATTCGGTGTATGCAAGGAAACACTCTTGACTTACAAGATAATGTCATAATGCCACCTTATTTGAATTGCACCGTGGAGATTGAAAACAAAATACTCCACAGATTCCCTGAAGGAAAAAAATAAACATATACATTTTTTATTTTTTTTCCAGCAAGCAAATAACCCCACCTACATTGTCAACTTTGAACATGAATATCCGGAACTCTCAGGGTTCAGCAAAAGTGGTGATGAAACAGAAATTGTTGGAGTAGTTTAAAAAAAAGAAAAAAGAAAGAAAGAAAGAAAGAAATTTCACATTCCTTCTGAAGAGAAAAGCTTTTACAACCAGCGTGGCAAAAAGGTTTTTACTAAACTGTCATGATTTGACAGCATCAGATTGAACATGCCTTTTGCTCTATAAGAAATAGCTTTCAGCATAAAACCAAGGGTGGGGGGGCGGGGGGAGGAAGGTCATTAAAATCAACCAAGTTTTTGTTTAAAAGCGCAAATGGAAGCGTTTAAGAAGTTAAAATCTGTCCAGGCAAAAAGAGTTAGGTCGTTTGTTTCTGACAATACACAAAGCCATTTAATTCACGTTTCACGAGGAAAATTCTGGGATTAAAATAGAAGGATCTAAGGCTCACGGCCTTTACGGATGAGAAGCCATGTTTTCCGGTAGGTCACATTCTAATAGCGAGGACATCAAGGTAAGTTCCAAGTCTCACTCCTGACTTCGAGGTAAATCCTCCCTGGCTAACCCTGTCTGGTGCCGGGGCTACAGGAGCAGGGCAGAAAATAAGAATAATGGATGGCCCTTCCAGGATTTCTCAACTGCAGCAAAGTCTCCAAAGAATGAGGCATGATCCCAGATTAGAGGTGATTACTTTGTACCCCAAAGATAGGAAGTATTTGTGGCCTGAATGACAGGCACCAAAGGGTAAAAGGAACTCAGTGTGAGAGAGAGCCAGTGGGGGTCTAGGTGCCATGTTCCCAAACCTGACTTCGTATGGTTCCTATTTCACTTCTTCCCGAAAGAACAACAGGGAAGAACCTACTGGCTTCCATACCGGTCTCTACTCCCACAGTCAAGAGAGGACTAACATCCTGAAAGAACCCCTAACTGCCTGACAGTCATGAAAGAATATTTATTGGTTGGTGTTTCAAGTTGGATCGAGTTAAAAAGAAAACCAGAAAAAGAGTTTTCACTGGAGAAAGATCCATTGCGGATTCTTTTGCCTTACCTTGTAGGTCTGGGTTTGCTTCTTTAAAGGAGGGAAGTGTGAAAGTTCCCTATTCAAGATTGTCACGGTCCACTATCCATAAGGTAGTTACAAGAAGTTTGTAGAGTCCCAAAATACGACTTTATATGGCACAGCCTCAGGCCCAAAGAAACAGACCTTGTTTGTCCAGTGAGGGGGAGGTGTTTGGGTTTTATTATTATCATTCTTATTATTTTTATTTTTTAAAATCCACTTTCCTTTTCTTTCCAGACCCTTATGATGACTTTCAGGTCACCATAAGCCACGAGGTGGCCCGATGAGCTACGCGGTTTTCACCTAGGTTGTTTTCCGTGGTAAGAACCAAGCCTTAGAAGCTACGACTGAGTCCTTCCCAAATGTTCCTGGGCATGGTATTCATTCCGGTGAGAGCAAGAGGACGGTCATTTACACCACAAACAAAATACTGCAGTTGTAATTCCAAATGGAGAGAGGATCAAGGATGTCTCAGAGAAGCTCAGTGTCTGTCAGCAAATACTCATCAAAACCCGGAGGTGGTGTTCTATTTATACAGGTACGTGTATTTTACAAACTGGTGACGGACGGAGTACTTCTGAGACACAATGGGTTCCAGGTCTCGATTTGAGCGACGGTCTGTCATTTCCGTAAGCCCCGCGATCTCAGCAAAATCTGTACACCGGGTGACGCTGCAGGTTATTTTACTCTTTCTTTCATTTCAGAGGGCGAAGACGGAGTTAAAAAAAGTGCAGTTCTTCAATTAAAGTGCATGGATGAGGTAAACTAATTTCAAGAGTTCTGAGTTTATTCAACAGCACTGGCTCAGACAGGAACCATTCGGCCGTGTATCTGCTGCATTTGGGTTCTCATCGCCTGGACGCTGCTCAGAATCTTATTCTGATGTGTGACGGCTGTGATGCCGATTCTTGCCAGGTCACTGGATGTAGGGGGAGAAGTGAGAGGGAGAGAAAAAGGCATGAGGGCCGAGAATCTCGTTTCGGGGCTTCATGCAGACACACATTTGAATCAGCCACAGCTCATACGGCACAACAAGGCAGGTATGTTCTAATGTCTAATTAAGCAATTTAATGCAACAATGTAGGTGCTCGAGAGGCTGTGCAAAAATTACACGCGATCAAAATGAAAGGCATTCCAGTTTTCTTTTTCTTTCTTTCTTTCTTTTTTTTTTAATGAGTAGGATGATAATGCAGCTCAAAGCAAGAACGGCAAATACTATTAAATCTAGATTTACCCTTTGGTGTTACATCGCTGAGTACTTACTCCTGGTTCATGTGTACTATAGCCTCTAGTGTGGTATAGCCGGCAGCCGTGAAGTTATCCTTATACCGGTCCATTTTAATGGCCTGGAGCCAGTCGCCAACGGATACCACGGCGGAGAACTCGGGAGAGCTCGGATCCAACAAGGCGGTGTTAGGTCTGGCGGTGGAACGAGAAAGTGTGGACAGACGAGAACCATCAGTGAGACAGCAAGACTCAGAAGTCAGATTGCCTAAGATAGGCATTGAAATGCCAAGGACGGGCTTTTTAGAGGACTGCCTGTTGTCAAATGTCATCGTGTGATGTTTTTTTTTTTTTTTTTGCCCCTCATCGCACAAAGTCGCTAAAACATGTATCAATCGCCTTCTCTGCCCTTGATTCCACTTCCCACATTTGTTTCTTGGGGACCTCTTGGTATACTAAGGATCATCCCAGTCTTTTCACATCTCAGCCTGGGGGGAAGGATTGGGGGAGACCTTGTGGCTGATACCCGTTGAGTCTTTGCAGGAAGAGGGAAATTCCTGCCAGCACTATTACATACCTCAGGACAGCAGCTATGGAAACCCTAGTGAAGTAGGAGTAAAACAAAAAAACAAAAACAAAACAAACAAAAAAAAACAAAACACTGTGAGGTTGCAACTCGCCAGACTTGATGGAGCGGAGAAAACAGCAAGAGTTCAAGTCCAGCGTGCTCCCAGCCAGATCTGCAAGGCAGGCTCAGTGCATTCAAACAAACTTGGGGACAGCAGGGAGTTAATGCCCTCTTTAATCAGCCCATGCCTGACCAGCATGTGTGCCAAGACGGGAAGGAAGAATGGCCACTTTGATCACCGCGTGGATTACGGAATGAGCTTCTCGTCTTCCCTTGCTGGGGCTCTTAAATAATCATTTCAATGAACTCTAGGCACTTTTTATGAACTTATTTCTTAGTTTACGCATTTCTCAGGCCAGGTGTCTTACGTTAGGTCATTGTCAAGAGTGACTACAGTTCAAGGCGGGAATTTTGCCATTCCTCGTGATACTGATAATACAATAATTATTATCAAGAGAAACATAGTCCTCTTTATCATCAAACTACTTAATAATTATTGGGTAGACCTTCACCAGGTATTTTATACCACCTTTACTTTAATCACCTGTAGAGCAACACGGCTACTTGTTTATTATATTTCCTGGAGCTCCTGTTTCCCTAGAAATTATAGAATGGGGTTGATCTTCACATTCTGACCTAGTTTTCCTCCTGAGGCTGCGCTGCTTAAATAGAAATGTTTAAATAGGAATATCATCATTACTGAATTTTTAGCCAAAAAGAATATATTCTCTTGTGAAAACAAAGTTAAGTCGGTATAATGCCTTGATTAATTTTCTGCATGGCAAAATTAATCTAATTCCATTGTTTATTTTATAATTTTTACCTGTTATTTTGGTTTGCAAAAATTCTTTCTTATGTAACTATTTTAAACAAGACTTGTTTTATCAATCAGTTTTGTGTCCAAATCGTAGCTTGCCACTGTGAATTTTTACGTCCGTTATTTCAATTAAGTCCAATTTTCTGAGTAAAATGGTGTGAATTTTTATGACAAGAATAATCAAGATTTAACTCTTCCCCCAATAACAAGTAACATCACATAGAATTTTAGACATTAGTGTTCATGTTTATCAATAATATTCATCATTAGACAAGACCAATAGTTTGCATTTCTAACTTTAAGCCAAGAGCATGAATAGGGCAACATGTAGGCTCAAGGTCAAAATGACCTTAGGATGAAAATAACCTCATTCACTATCAATGAACTCTAAGGATTATTTGCAAGCTTGCTCTGGAAGTCTTTGTGCTCTCTGTGGAACACCATGACATCTGCCTAATTTTGTGCTGAATCACATACAATGTTATACTACATCCCATTATCAGCAAGCAGTAATCAGCATCAAAGCTACCGAAGTACCATCAGCGAGAAGAATTTAGAATTCTAAAAAGTATATCCAATAACTCAGTTTGTTCTCAATTTGTTCTGCATAATTGTACGAAGCACACATTATGCAATATCAGTGGCTGAAGAGTTTATACCAGCCGGAAAAGCACCAAATACCAATGAACCAGCCTTAGGACCTTTAGACAAAATTCATGGGATCCGGAGCTGGAGACCTAAAAGCTGGAGGAAACTCACCTTGGAACAGAAGAGGCCAGAATTGAACTGGATATCGGAGAATTAAAGAACAAAAAGTAGCCTACTTGGCTATCAAGTGGCAGAAATAAGATGTGAACTTAGCCCATCCCAAGTGTTCTTTCAGAAGAGCTTGATCATTAAGCTCTTGGGCTGTGGCAAATGCCAAGGGATCTGAAAGCCCAGAAGAGAACAGAGGGTGTCTCTGCTGCTTGTTCCAGATTCTTCGTGCACTGAAATAATCAGCATATATACCTTCTCTTCCGCAACCATTAGGCTAAGTCTGCAGAAGACTGGAGGGGGAGCTCCCTGCACTGACCGAGACTGGAAGGTCTTGGACATTGTGGGAAAAAAAAAAAAAAAAAAATCCTTCAATTTTTAACTCAGCATCATGATGAAAGAGGAGCCTTGGAGAATTGCAGATTTGGAGGTGAGTAGATACCTTACTTCTTGCAGGCTCGAAGCAGCTGATTATCTTATGCTAGTCTTCATTTAAATCATTTACCTACCAAGGGCGGTCTATACTCTTTGGGGTGGGACCGGTATCAAGGTATCCGGAATCTTACACCAGGTTGAAAAGTTCCTATTGAATTAAGAGCACTCGGGAGTATCTGGGATCTTCTTTCTGGACTGATCACGCTTCTTCCTTTTGCCCTTTCCAATGAAACAACTACCTATTTTACAGATGGTTCAATTATATTCATTTTTAAAACCCTTCTCAAACATTCAGCCATATGCTTTGCAACTTGATCAGTTTCTATTTTGGTCCTGCTTCCTTCTACTCTTGAAAGACTCAGTAAAGAGAAACGTTAGGAACTGAAACCGAATGAATTTTGTGCTTTGTAAGCTTGTATGCGCCTATAACCCTTTAGAAGTCAACCTAAAACAGTGCCTGAAAAGGGGCGCCTGGGTGGTTCAGTCGGTTGAGCATCCGACTTCAGCTCAGGTCACGATCCCCCAGTTTGTGGGTTCGAGCCCCGTATCGGGCTCTGTGCTGACAGCTCGGAGCCTGGAGCCTGCTTCAGATTCTGTGTCTCCTTCTCTCTCTCTGCCCCTCCCCCGCTCATGCTCTATCTCTCTCTGTCTCTCAAAAATAAATAAATGTTAAACAAATAATTTAAAAACAGTGCATGAAGAGCTGTCCTCTACTCCTCATTTTTTACTAATCCAGTGTTCCTTTCCCTTCCCCAAGTATAGCATCTAGTGACCTGAATGTCTTCCCAAAGTACATTTTATCTTTCTTCCTAAATGTTCAGGTACAGCATAATAAAGTAAGCACTTTAGCTATTTGTTGCTGGGTTTTTTAATTTTTTTTTTATGTTTGTTTTCGTACTACTTTTTGAGGCCCGACAGGTGTTAGGCTCTGCGAAATGGTGAACAAAACTACCATAAATACTCCATTAACTGAGACAGAAGCCACCCAGGCTGCAGAGAGCTGTGCAGTGGCCTCTGACTAAAAGGCAGGAATTAAAAGTGAGCCACCGCTCGCCTGCCACCTCTAATGTATTATTTCATACATCACTATTAAGAAGGCATGGCCGACCTGGAGCTCTCGGTCCCCGTCCTCTTCAAGCTGTTGGGGTTGCGGATGAGTTTGTCCAACATGTTGACAATCTGCCCAAATTTCGGCCTATCACTTCTCTCCTTCTGCCAGCAGTCTAGCATCAGTTGATGGAGTGCAATGGGGCAGTCCATTGGAGGAGGTAGCCGGTAGCCTTCCTCGATGGCTTTAATCACCTATCAGAGAAAACAGAACGCTATATATTAAGTGGCCAGGGGAAGCTGCTGTCAGAGGTCCATCCTCCTGACCCGCAAGTTCCCCTGCACGTGCAGCTGCCGGCAAGCTCGAGCATGGGAACAGCACCAATTTCTTCGCAGAAGCCAAAGCTGGACCTGAGTGTTGCTGGCAACGGGACAGGGAAGCCAGCTGTTGCCATGAGCTGTTCTCAGATGACAGGCAATGCCAATCTGAAATTCTAAAGTGAAGAACGCATCAGTGTTCCGAAGTGGTTAGAACACAATCAGATCAACAGCCTGGTGTTGGGCTGGCTCTCGGAGATCACATGGTGACCGCCCTCCTCCTCCTGCTATCCGGCATCCTCTGAGCCCTCGTAACAAAAGACACTCTAGCCTCGGGTTACAGATCTTCCTTCAGAAGCGTTCATAGTTGCGTCCAAGATGAACGTCTCGTTGTATCCTTTTAAGTCTGTATCTTCTTGCACAGACAGCTCATGGGTCAGTACAGGAGCCCTCCTTCCAGACCTCCCAATCCAGAAGACACTCCTTCTCTCTAAAATAGCACTCTCCTCAAACCCTCCACGTGGCCAACCATTTTTCCTTTTGGAAAACCAAAATACACCAATATACCAACGCTACATCACATTCTTGGGTCTCAGTTGTCTGACAGTTGGCCCTGTTAAAAGGTGTTAGTAAGTGGATTAAAACAAAAAGTAGTAGCAAAGAAAATTAAAAAGAAAAAAATTCTTTTCGAGCATTCACATTCTGAAGGGGACCTCTCCACATCTAAGGAAAGAAGTTATAATGGTAGACGGTAATTGTCTCATTGCCCAGAGTTCTCCCTGCTTAATAAGACGTGAGTTAACTCTCTAACAGTCTTTCTTCTAATTCAAAATTTTTGCATCTGTCTTCACAGGTATTACAGTAGTTTTCTTATTGGCCTTTTGCAAAGCCCCCCATCTTTAGGGTATGAATCCCAGTAATGTAATATCGTAGGACTCATGCCAAATTTAAGGAGGGGGAGTATTTCATAATTTCTTGGCTACACATTAGCATCATTTATGGGAATCCGATGAAATTCTGAAAGATCTTTTTTTTTTTTTTTTTGGTCTGGAGATTTTTTTAAAAAGTCTTATTCATTTTAAATCAGTTTCGTTTGGTTTCTATCAAAATGGGTAGCTGCTAATGAAACAACCAGAGCTCTAGCCATCTCAGTGGCCACACTGGATTCACCCCGCAGTGGGGTTTCTATTTCCTGTTCAACAACTGGTCTTCCACAGCAAACAGTTAATTCAGCTGGGTCCAGTTTCTATGTATCAGTATGATTATTGTCTTTTCAGCTGGCACACAGTTTGACAGTCCTCTTGTGATTTATTAAGCCCCCTGATCCTTTTTCTCCCGTGTATTTTTGCCAACATCCTGTTGTATTCGTATTATTTACTACTCCTTCTAGAGTAGACTTCTACATGCTATCTTACTAAACATTGGTCTCTTTATTTCTGGCAATTACATGAAGTCAGTTTGATCTTCTGACTTTCTTTTATCTTCCCAGGTGCATGGTGTTGACTCTAGACTTGATGACAACATTTTACATTGAATTGATGAGAATGAGAGAAATATTGGGCTAACGCCAGGATAACACAATTTGTTACGAACCCTCAGACTGCTTAATACTCTTTCATTAGCCCCCTCTCCACTGCCAGCTTGGAAGATGGCTTGTGGGTTAACAAAGCATATTTTCTCAGTTTACTGCTGAATCCTTTTGGGGGGCTGAAGAGTAAAACAAACAAAAAACTTGGTAAGTTTGCCATATTTGCGACAGTTATTTTGAGTCCATTCACCATATGCCAAATGAATTCTACTCATGAAAGTGATTTCCCAGTTACATTTCCTATTGATTCCTGTCCTACGCAGAACCCAACGGAGACAAACACGCGGGAACGACAGATCGACATGATCTGTGGAAGAGAAATGGCTTCAAATGCTCCTCACGGAGAAAACCAGACAACTGAAAAGTTTAAAACAATAAAGATTATTTTAACGTAATATAGAAACTGCCAAAACCATGGGTCTGAAAATATTCAGGGCAGGGAAATGGACAGGATCTTGAGAGTCGCTGCTCTTCTGAGCATTTGGTCACGACCGCCAACTGAAAGAGAGTTGAAGTATCACATCGTTAAAGGAGTCAAGGTATGCATTACTTGCTCATTTAGGTTGTTTTTGTCCTTCCATCAAGTCTCTTATCCGAAAACAAATGTTGTTACAAGGTAGGTACTGAAAGGTGTCTGTAGCACAATCACATCAAACAACGCATTACACACCCCTCACTTCTGTAGTTTTTTTTTCCAGCCTGCAATTACCTACTAGTTATGCTAGTTGCTGGCCTTCTTCCTATCCGCTATGAACTTTTCTGTATAACTTAACAGATAACACAATGTCAACACCATCATTCCTCTTAATCTGGCTAGCAAATTCTTTTCTGCGCCCCTCGCCGTGGAGTGCATTAGTTTCTCTATCGCTCTGAACATTATTTTATTGATAAGGCAACCAGCATCCGATTTCTCGAGTTCTTCATCTAATAGCCAAGGCTGTGCAACCTCTTGCTGTTTCAGGACAAAGCAGATGGTCAGGTAGCATTCCACATCAGAGAAAATTTTTGAAAAGGAGATTTTTTTTCTAAGCTGTAATTTTTACTGAGAAATTGAAGGCCACGCCTTTGGAAGCCCTGTGTGCTAATATTTTACTTCACACGTACAACTAACAAGTGTTCTGGGAAGACCCCTTGGTCCAAGTTTTTTGTTTTTCTGTTTTTTTCCTTCTTTTTCACTGGAGATGTTTGTAATTAAATTCTATTACTCTGGAATCTTATTAGTGTCATTATTGAATGCTTTTCTGAAATTGCAGGCATTGTGGATACTCCCTTACGAAGTAGTCCAGATGGTACATTTAAAGGGATGTGCATAATTTACAAAGGGTCATTTAGTGAAGCTTTATTTTAGAGTCCTCAAGGGGCAAGCTCTAATTACAACTATGCCAGCTTTAAAATATTCACTAGTTCTCTTCAGATAAACCCTTGGTGTCCATTTTTTCACATGTGAAATTTGCGTTTTTCATGTATCCTTGAATTTTCCTAGAAATCAAAGTTGAATTGTATGCCACTGTGGATTGGAGCATTAATCACGTAAAAGATAAATCTATCGAATATAAATCTATAAATTTATAGATAAAAATATAAATCTACTGAGTTGGTCTCTCATGCTACCCCCATTTAGGCGACGTAATTTTGGTCCTTGAAATCCACGACTGTGGGGTTTAACGAGATTATTACACACATTTGTATTGAGAATCTTGAGTTTCATGTATCATTTCAAGCTCAAGCCTACTCCATCATACACTGATGCAATCTCAATGCAGAGACATATATTTCAGAACATAAAGACTCACGTCTTGATTGGACATATCCCAGTAGGGTCTCTCTCCATATGACATAACTTCCCACATAACGATTCCATAGCTCCATACATCACTCGCTGATGTGAATTTACGATAGGCAATTGCTTCTGGCGCGGTCCACCGGATAGGAATCTTGCCACCCTGTGAACATTCGAGCCATAAGTTATTCCCTAAGTACATCCCTGATGTGCCATTTTAGTCCCTGAATGTTCTTACTGTTTGCCAAGCAGGACAACAGCATTCCTGAGATAGCTCTCCAAACAATAATAAGAGACTTGTTTATTTTAACTAGTCTTCTAAGTTGAGACACTTCTCATGTGTTTTCTTTGGTCACAGGGCAGTGAACAAGTAGTCTGTTTAATTGTTTTTTAAAGAGCCTACCTATTTGAGTTCTGCTTCAGGCGATATTGTAGGAGAAAGGAAATCGCAGGATTTACAACATGCATATGTTATGACGGTATATCAGTGGATGCGTAGCTGACGCTCACTTTGACTTCCTGCTGAATTCTCTCACCCAGCAGCACAATGGCGATATTTAATATTGCTTCTGGAGTCATGAACTAAGGAAGTTAAATATGAAATTTTCTATCCTCCACACTGCCATCCTACTTTTACATAGCATGAGAAAGATGCTTAACATGGTTAGAAGGTAATACATTACGCAGGCTCTTAGAGGAAGACAAGTAGCAGATGCTAATGTCATTACCGACTTTAATGGAGGGAGGGCACCTGCAAACGTGGCAAAGGAACTGACTATTACCCAGAAAAAGTTTAAAATTGGTGCTTGATTTTTTTTTCTTTGCCCCAAATGTCTATTGTTTGGTTATTACACTTAGGTGAAAGGGGTTTTGAATCAAGTTTCAAATTTCCTCAGGTTCCATCTGGGGAAATTAATACAACTTAACTTGAGACTCCAGCCGTTCCAGAGAACATCATTTGAAAGCTTGCTTTACTGAGGCTGCTAAACAAGACACTAAACAGTCCTAGAAATTACATTGATTCACTGCAGTGTGACTGAAACACTGAAAACCCAGCGTGTTACATTTCTACTTGTTCTATACAGAAGGACACTTGCGCTGCCTTCCACCTTCCTTAACTAGTTGGCTAAGGTTTAATCTACGTAAATGGATCATTCTCAAAGCCTCCTTTAATCTTCCTCTCCAAATAACTGGTAAAAATACAAGATCTTCAGTATTCACAAAGATGCATTCTTTCTTACATGAATGGACTTAGAATTCAAAAGTGGATATATGTGTAAGTTTCAAAGCTAGAGCCACGGCCATAGAACACTACCAGGGAAAAAAAAGAAACATACCCACCCACCCACCCACCCACCCACCAACCAAACAAAAACAAAAACTAGGATTGTAAATTGCAAAGTGAGCACCAAAGGAGGAAAATGTCTGCTTTCCGTTGATTTCAGCAGTGCCCAGCCCTAATGGCCAAACACTTTTAGGATTCTGTTTATTCCATTAGTATCTTATATTCAGATTGTCCAGCTAAGAGAAGATAGCCATTAACTGTATACTGATAACTCTTAACTGTGCCCTAATCCGGCCTATCCACCAGGAGTAAAACGAAGGCCATTAAAGTTGAAAACTCCTTGCACAGTGTAAATGATTTATAAATCCTGTATACACATTCTCAGACTCAGTGGCCAACCAACTAGAAACGTTGCTCTACCTTGTTTAAAATAAGAAGACTTTTTAATAATAGAAAAGAATCAAATGGAAAATCTAAAACAGGAAGGAAGGAAGGAAGGAAGGAGGGAAGGAAGGAAAAGAAGAAAAAGTAAGTGTAATAAATACAATATTTACTCAAAGCTCTAGTTTGCCGTTTTTAAAGCAGTCACACATCTTAAGGCGGTTTCAAAATCCCTCTCAGAAATACAGCTTGAAAATGGATGCGGGGATATGAAGAGGCTCTGAAGGATGAGGAAACTTACAAAATCACAAAGGGCTTAAACATCAAAGTGAGAAAAGAGGAACAGTTTCATCAGAGTCAAAACCCAGAGGTCGCAAATCCTCCTTACCCTGGTGGTGTAAGCTGCTTCCGGATCATCCTCAAGTACTCGGGACATGCCAAAATCAGACACTTTGCAGACCAAGTTGCTATTTACCAGAATATTCCGTGCAGCCAGATCTCGATGCACATAGCTCATATCCGATAAATACTTCATCCCGGACCCGATGCCACGAAGCATGCCCACCAGCTGAATGACAGTAAATCTGCCATCATTCTTCTGCGTAGGAAAGGAATAAGGAAAAATCTCATTAGCATTAGGCCAAATTAATTTTCACCAAAGCATTTATTATTACTTAGATCTTTTTTGATTTCTGTATCAAGCCTGCAATGAAATGCCACACTATTTCCGGACCTTTCTGACCGAAGTCACTAACTCACTAGTAGAGTGTATCCTAAGAACTGGGTTTGCTTCCTGTGGTAGATGGAAATTATCCAACTGTAATGAATCTACGGCTCACATAGCCCCACAATGCAAGAATAAATCAAATACCAGCCTCATTGAACATGGATTATTTAATAGCCTTTAAAAATCACATCATTCTCTATTTCTCCTCTTCTTCCCTTGCCCCATTAAAAAAATTCCATGAATACAACTAAACAGAATGGACGCAAGGAGTCTGTTAGAGTTTTCTAAATACCGACATTCTTGGGTTTAATATAAAGTAGTCACGTACCCTGAGGAATGCATCCAAGGAGCCATTCTCCATGTACTCTGTTATGATCATTACTGGTTTACCTAGAGTTTTCAGAAAGAAAAACACAAACCCTTGATGAGCACTGCAGTTAATGAGATAAAAATGGGCTGTGCACAATTTTACTGCCAAGACACCTGTCTTGTGCGATCTAATTTAATTAAAACAAGCCAAGCTTATGCCTCAGCTGTGGGGAGCTAGGAATGAAATATTAAAAGGACGGGTAGGTTTAAATTCCATCTGGAAGGTTAACCCTTTGGGTGGCCTGTTGACAAGGTCTTTAACTAAAGTGGCCTCCGGTATCCAGGGAGCACATGAAGGGATAATTGCTCTCTCAAGCAAAAGGGGAGGAAGATAAATGGGCCGGCCTGTTTAAAGGCGAAAAAATCTTTAGGATAATTAATTTATTTTGTCCCCAGAAGAGCCACTTGTGTGATGCTAAAGGAATCAATGGACAGAGAAACTTTTTTACTTATTTAGAGAAACGCAAGTTTCTAAGCGCAGTAACTACGCAGGATACTTCATTACTCAGACACATCTTAAAGCTCAAGCATGCGCAATGTTAACCCCTCTCCCCCCCTCCCACCCCACCTTACTCAGATCGGGAGATACCTCCTTTCTTTTCCCTTTCCTATCTACAAAAAAAAGTTATCCTATTTGGTCCTTTAAGCGGACAACTTCAGCAGCAGTGACAACAGCAACAACAAAAAAACAAAAATCAGAGAAAAGTTGCAGGAAATTATTTCAACTGAGACAAGTTAATTCAGCACTAGGATATCCTTGCTCCCCCTTCACCTGTTTGTGTGTGTGTGTGTGTGTGTGTGTGCGCGCGCGTGTTTGTTTTTATCAAAGAGAATAAAATGAATTTAAGGTTTGGGAGAAGTGGGGGGGGGGGAACAATACTTTTAGTTTACTTTAGTTTTCTTTCTGAGGAACTTAGGAAATAGGAATCATTCTTTAGTTTCTTCATGGCTGCCAATGGACTCAAGATCTGAAACTCCTTTTTAAATAGTGTTTGTGGGAGGGAATTGGGGTGGGGACGTAAATCCTCAATATTGTACTAAGGGAAAGGTTAAAGCAAAGACAACATAAAAGATTCCCCGGGAGGAAAATAAAATGCTCGTTTGATAAATCAAAAATATTCACTTTCATCGCTATACTTGTGGACGGTTTGGACTTAGACATTCAGTCAGGGAAAATGGACTGGGGTAGGTCACTGCTGGAAAGTTCCTGTAACCATCCTAACTTAATACCTTTCCCACCCAGAATAGACTCCGTTCTGATGTGCGGAGGGGGGAAATGTCTTTATTTCAGAGGCAAAAATTAGGAAGAACAGAAATTTTCAATCTCAAAACAGTCCAAGTTATCAGTTTTTAAAATCACTTGTTTATTTTTAATGTTTTTACCTTAAAGTTTATTTACTTATTAAACTTGTAAGAGAGAGAAGGGAGGAGGGGCAGGGTGAGAGGGAGACAGAGAATCCCAAGCAGGCCCCTCACAGACAGTATAGAGCCTGACGGGAGGCTCAAACTCACCAACCCTGAGATCATCACCTGAGATGAAAATGAGTCATCCAGGAACCCCAATCATTTTTTTTTTATTGTGTTTTTTTGGTATCATGTCTAAGCAATCTTTCCGAGGTAAAACTTTTGGATGAGGAAATGATACCACGGAGAGTTTATTTTCAGTGATGAATGAAAGAAAGCCGGCAGAAAAAGGGGAAGTCGTGGCTTCGATCAAAGGGTGAGCAAAACCACTTCCGGTCTTTCCCCTCAGCTGGAGGGAGTCATCTCTGAACACCTTTTCTGTTCTCCCTCAATATAATAAATAGGAAGCTCTTTGCTTTACTTATTTTATAAATTATTAAATACATTTGTAATAAGTTAATTTTATTAATTTATTCTGACAGAGAGAGAGAGAGAAAGTACGGAGGGTGTGGGGAGAGGCAGAGAGAGAGAGACTCCTAGGCAGGCTCGGTGCTTGAGCCCGGTGGGGGACTCGATCCCACCAACCCTGAGGTCATGACCTGAGCCGAAATCGAGAGTCGATGCTTAACCCACTGAGCCACCCAGGTGACCCGAAGCTCTCTGTTTTAGATTCACGTACCCTCTACATCTGCGGCCACGGACAGACCAAATGCATCCAAGTGAGCTGTGATGAACCCAACTCAATCAAAAGATACTTCGTCAACCAATGAGTGAAATGGACTCTCTTGCATTAACACCTACTTCTACCTCACCAGATCCCTCTGGAAGTGTGGACAAGAGAGTAGAAGCCCCAGAAGAGAGTTGTGGGGGGAGGGGTGGTGGAGGGAATGTATCATCTCCCCATCAGTTTAAAAAGTTCTTCAAGTAACTGCTGGTAATGAATTCACACGCTCCCACATCACCTTTGTGCCCTCCTCTGACTGTTGGCAGGTCTTCACGATTTTTCTACATTCCTTCTTCTGTTTATTAAAAGTATCCATTTGTCAGAATCTTTATGAGCTCTCCAAGAGAAATAAAGACGAATGTCTCCGTAAGCAGAGGGGCTTATAAAATGGGGCTCAGCTGGGCTCACGGAGGGAAGGTGGTTCCTCCCCTGAAACGGGCAGGGACGTGGTGGGGGGGGGTGTGGGGGTGGAGTGGGGGAAGGGGCCAATTCCTCTGGTGGAAATTTTAAATCATTTTAACTCAGTGACAACTGCATTATGCAAATGCATCCAGTCGTTTATAACAGTTACAGCTGTAATAGCTATGGGTTTTAGAGGCGCGGTGGGACTTTAATACAGAGATCCCCTGGTTCTTCTCTCTTCTGCAGAGGTGCTACGAAAATCACTGTCTGCAGCAGGAAAAAACACCCCAAGCTGAACAGAGCCTCCTTTTGAGAAACTGGACCCCTGCAGAAGTATTTAAACAGAATGTTATCTTTCTTTTTTTTTTTTTTTTAAATTTATTTTCAACGTTTTTTATTTATTTTTGGGACAGAGAGAGACAGAGCATGAACGGGGGAGGGGCAGAGAGAGAGGGAGACACAGATTCGGAAACAGGCTCCAGGCTCTGAGCCATCAGCCCAGAGCCCGATGCGGGGCTCGAACTCACGGACCGCGAGATCGTGACCTGGCTGAAGTCGGACGCTTAACCGACTGCGCCACCCAGGCGCCCCTGGAATGTTATCTTTCAATTAAGGTAGTGAAGGGCTCTGGGCAGCTCCGAAGGCCAACGGGCAACAGAAAAATATCCTGTCTGCAAAACTAATCTTAAAAAGCAAAGAGAGGTATTCTGTGCTAATCATAGCCTTCGCCTTAGGTGGGAAATCATATACCCTTAGCACCAAGGTTCCGTTTTTGAGGGATTCTGATGATGGGGAAAGGTGTACTTCTTAAGACATAGCGTTACCATTTAACACTGAGGGAAGTTTTCTGTTGTTTAAATTCGCCAAGCATTATGCTAAACACGGGAAGTCTTTCATCCAAAATAACCTTCTTTGGCAAGTTCTATTTTCATCTCTATTTTGTAGATGAGGAAACTGAAATCTTGAGCAACTAACTGCTCACGACCACATGCTTTCCTAGTAGTGGCGTGGACACGGGAGTCTCCGAGTCCGGTGCCCCGAAACCTTTGCCTCACCTTCCAGATCTTTAGAAATGTGAACGCATGGGCCCCACCCCACCTGAGGAATAAAACCTGCTCCAGGAAACTGTCTGAACACGTTTTCCAGAATTCTGATGGACGTTTAAGCTTGAGGAGGACCTCTGAATGAAGGCACACTTTCTCTCACTTTTTAGGAACCTCCTTATTGTCTCATCTTAAAAGATGATGTGCTCTTGGGTCTTACTTTCTGCTCTACCCCAGAGCTAATGGCCAAAGTTTTACTCTTTTAACCTACTCTTCTCTCCCCACGGCTCCCTTTTACCCACTCTGCATGTGTTCACTGAGGGTGCTTTTCACAGGCACCCTGAATCAAGTGAGAGGAACCTTGGCCTTCCTGGAGACACGGCCCTGGGGCTTATAAGATCTTTGCCGTGTAGTGAAATAGTAGGTACTGCGGCTCCTGGAACAGAGCCACCCTTCAGTAGTAACCGCTTCAGCTCACTGTCCATGTGGTGCCTTAAAAATGGGTCTTAGCCAGCCTTGCAGATGTATTCAGGGTTTGCTTCACAAAATGCATCTGTTGAGCTGTGTCGTATTTTAACCGAAGCGTGGTTCGCAGGCTCCGCGAATGCTAATGGGCTAAAAAAGGAAGGTTCAACCAGGTGTTACTGTAAATAGACTTCCAAGATTCACTCCCTGCATCTGGAACTGAAGGTTCGAGCACGAGGCGTGGCGAGCTTTTGTTGTGTTTCATACGAAAAGTACTTAAATTTTATTTTGCTTACCATCTGCTTGCGCCTACCCTGTGACAATCAGTTTGGTCTAGCAAAGGTTTGAAAGATGGCGAGGCATACCAAAAAATCTGCAATATTAATTTCCCTAAAATCTCACACAAGCTGCCTTGGAAATAGTGTATCAGCCTAAACCATAGACCCATTGAGAGCTGACTGCAAGATTAATGACTTGTCCTGCACTGATTTCCTCCCATTAGCAATCAGTGGGTCTGCTCCATCTGTCATTTCCCTGGAAAGAAAATGTGGGTTTAATTTGCCAGGAACTTCTAACTTGGCTTTGTAAAAGGAGCGCCCCACGTACATTTGGTGACAACGCCTTCCAAGTGAATTATATTCGGGTGGTCAAACTGTCCCATGATGCTGGCCTCACTCAGGAAGTCTCTCCTCTGTTTATCTGTATAACCAGCTTTCAGGGTCTTGATGGCCACACAGATCTCTCTCTTGCCAGGCACTTTGAGACGCCCACTGCATACTTCACCAAATTCACCTTTGGGAGAGAAAACGAATCAACGATGGACCAGAAACACGTTCAAGATGAAAGTAAGAGCTAACATTTGTTGCGTGCTACTTACATGCCAGGCACTCTGCTAATGTTTTACATAGATCAAGGGAATTTCACGTACACAGATATTTACATACATACCTGTACACGCGATATGTTCGTACACGTTTGTATAATCCGCATAGGTATATTTAATGTCCACAAAGAAAATAGGCTTGCTTATTAGAGAGACACTCAAACACCTACCAACTCCTATGACTTTTTCAATCTTAATGCAGGATGCGTCGATTTCTTTGGCAAATTCTCGAACTGCTTGGTTGGGATCTTCATAGGTAAAGGGGTCCACGTAAGTTCTAACACCTAAGTAATAAACACGTGACAGGTTGGCAGAATACTTCTCAGAAACCGCTAACGAACTTAAGTTGTCCGCGTCTAAAAATATTTAGCAGAGGAAGTTTTCTTAGCATGACAAACATACTTAGCAATAGACATACAGAAATGTTTAAACTCTTGCTCTGGTTTTCATTAGTGGGTAAACAGAGAATTGTTAGCTACTTAAGAGGCCACAGCTCTACTGACTTCCCGGAATGTCTTCACCCTTCAAGGAGGAAATTTTAAAAACAACCCATCCCGTGGAGGAAAAGAGAGTCTCTACAAGAAAATTTGGAATGTGTTACGCTGAATACCTTTGTCCAAGTCGGTTGCTCGTGTCCCACCCACCATCTGCAGCTATATTTGCTCAGGGAAGATAATGGGAACTTCCTTTCTTAATCGGCCATGTTTACACGGTGCCCGATACCGGGACCAATTAAGCACGTGACCGATAATTAACAAATGAAGATGAAAGCTAGGTTAAAATAGATAAGAGGGGCAATGCTAGCTAGCGGACTGGAGAATATACACGCTGTGTTGGGCTTCCACATTTATTCTGCTTTGGAAAGAAGGTGTTATGAGTAAAGACACTGAAGGTCATCCGAAAGCTGCAGTTGGAGAAAATGTTACAGCCTAGTTGTGAATGGTTGGAATATCAGGAAGTGTCATTCAGCCAAACCCCACAGACAACTCGCAGCCGAAATTCAGAATGTCCCAGGGCTGCGGGGACAAGAAGCATCAGTAATTCCTGGGACCCCTCCTTTCCCTGCCAGAGCTCCTAGGGCTTTGGGGCACAGAAAGGGGGTAGGGCACTGGTTGGCCTAATCTCCTTGATTTTCCGGAACTATCAGTCTTGTCCTCATCATCTCATTTAAATTAAAAAAAAAAAAAAAAAAAAAGTCACGTTTGTTTTTAAAAATATATATACCACATGCAAATTTGAAAAATATGGTTTTAGAAAGAAAATAAGGTGACCAAATGGAAGGTTGTCAGACATTCCATAGCCTTTATTGCTTTATATGCTGTAGCCAAGAAAATCTTTCTCAAGATGATTCTTCCTACCCCTAGTGTCTCTTCCTTCCACCTCCCTGTGCTGCTGTCCAATAGGGCACTTATTAGCCACACCTTGCTATTTACATGTAAATTACTTAAAATCAAAGAAATTAAAAACGTGCTTCCTCATTCACACTTGCTACTTTTCAAGTTTTCAATAGTGCACGTGGCTACTGGCTAATGTGTTGGACAGAGCAGGTAGAGGACGACGCCATCATCTCAAAACGTTCTATTGGATCTTAGGAATCTTCTACCTCGTCAAGTCATTCTAGGGCCAGTTCTTTGAACTTATTCTTTGACCCCAGAATAAGCAGAACCCACTAAAGAGATATTAGTAGTCCTGAATGCCACAGCACATATTGTTGGGGGTAGAGCGATTACTGTTCGTTCCTTGTTCTTTTCCTCTCCAAAAACTGTATCTTACAAAGATGAGAAAAATTGTCACCTGTTAAGCCTTGTCACCCAGCTACACAAATGACCAGCAAGACCAATACTTTTCCAGGGTAGACAGTAAAACAAGGAATAAGAAGAATCGAAAGGAAGTTTCCCCAACCCCCATCTTTAACCTCACTCGAAACACTCCCAAATCACTTATTTCAGTGGGAAATACGTACGTTACTTAGATAATTCTATGAAAGAGCTATAATACTGATAGCCACATGAATTTAATGCAGGCATTTCTAAACTGAAAACACGAGACAGAGTCTAAAGATAAAATTTATTCTTAATCCAATTTTTGTACCTTGATTCAAATGTTTCTCTTCATCTGCTTCTTGTTTAGCTTTACTGTATTTACTCCGTCTATTAAAAATTAAAAACACACACACACACAATTATTTTCAAAAGTAGTAAGCCACAAGATAAGTTCTTTGCTACCATACTATATATAAGTCAGGCAAATAAAAATACTGTGCACATTTCACAGGCAAGTAAACTGAGGTTTATGGAAAGTTTGCTGGTGAATAATGGTTTCAAACACAATCAGAACTGATTGTGAGTCTCTGCTTTTTTTTTTTTTTTTTTTTTTTTTTTTTTTTTCAGAGAGAGAAATCATTAGTCGGGGAGGGGAGAGAGACAATCTTAAGCTGAGGGCTGTGGAGCCCTCAGCAGAACTTGATCTCACCACTGTGAGATCATGACCTGAACCAAAATCAAGAGCTGGACGTTTAACCAACTGCACTAAACAGGTGCCCCAGAGTCTCTGCTCTTACCCACAATGTTAGAAACTAAGGTGATAAAGCAAATATTTTATAATATAATTTCAAATCTCCAGAATCAATTTCTCTTATTGAAGATAGATTATAAGTTTATTGGCTAGTTTTCCCATACATATTCCAAAGTAAAATAAGTTTCCATGGGTGAATTATGGATAAATCAAATGGCGATAATGTTCAGTATGTGATAAGTAAAGTAAGTCCTGTTGCTACAACCACAAAAACCACTACCAGAAAAAAACTCATTATCGTATTATATGATATTCTTAAAACAACAGTTTTGTGGTTATTGACAAAAACCTCATTATCATATTATATGATATTCTTAAAACAATACTTTTGTGGTTATTGGTTTCAGCTGCTGCTTACAAACTCCTAAATTATTAATGAAGATTTAAAAGGTAAATATTTGCGCTTTCTACTTGATCACGTTCCTTAAGAGTTTGTAGAAAACTTGAAAGAGTAAAAATGAGAAGTTTCCATTTGTAGCCGAAATCTCTTTCCCAAAAAATGGCGTATGGTCTCACATTTGGTATTCTGCTCTAAATGTCCTAAAGAAATGAGCTTTGGGTGTTACAAAAGTCTTGGGAGTCAGAAATCTTGAATACGTATAAATCTTAAATCAATAATTTTGATACGTTATATATGCATGCCTGTGTGTATATATATATGTGTATGTGTGTATATCACTGAAATGAATCAAAAGCTCAACTCAGTTGGTATAACGGATTTCTAAAGTTTGGGGGACGATGAGGTCAAAGAAGTGAATAAGATGTGTACGTTTGTGTTTCTGTCCCAAATGTAAAGTGCACTGGAGTTCACTGGAGTTTATAATCATCTCCTAGTTTCGAGGAGCTTTACAGACAAGTTAAGTCCAGATTTCTTACAATGAGGAAACTGAGGCCATAAAGCATCTCGGCAGTGTGGTCCTATCAGAGTCTGGACCCCTGAACCCCTGAACTTTGAAAAAGTAGAGAAGGGTGGGATGATCGTGTAAAAGAGAGAACAGCAGAGAACCTAACGGGGCCGAACTGGACAACCGGAGATGCAGTCCCATCACGGTCCCCCATCAGCTCCTGATTGTCCTCGGTGCAGGATCCAGCTCTGCGATCGGGCCCTCAGGGCCTGTAGATGTCTCTCTGTGCGTTGTCATTTCCCTGCAAGTAATACCACCTTCCACTTGTACACCGCATTTCACTTTTCAGAGTGTTCCGGACACATTATCATCCCCTCCGCTAACTGTTTACAAAGCAGGAAGCAGCTTGGTAAACAGAGACCTCAGTCACTCATTCTTACACAAGCGTGTAGAATTCTTGCATTTTTACTTTGCTTTCAACTTTTTAAAGTGCCATCGTGTCTATTATTGAATCCTATCTTCACGACAACCCCAGGGAAGTAGGCAGCCAGACAGACATGCTCAGTTCCACAGCACATGGGGCAAGCCATTCACCCACGACCCTCTTAGCAAGGACAGGAGTGCGTCTCCCCTGATCTGCTCACTATCTCACATGCCCCTCGTAGTGGAGATGAAGTTATATCAAGATATCTGATGAGAGTTATTGTAAGTAATACTGTATTTTATATCAGTGTATCCACTTAAGTTGGATTCCACCGCTTTGAAAAGCCATTGCTTCGTCAAGGAAACACAACACGTCGAAATGTCCCGAAACCAAGCGTCTGGATGGGAGATGTAGTCGGCCCCTCCCCGCCCCCTTCCCCTTTTAAAGGAAATAGAAGTGTTAGGTCAGGGACTATGAAAACAAGATTTTATGTCAGGGAAACGCGTGGCGAGGTCCCAGGGGTGTGATAGGGTCCTGCCAGTCTGTGCGATTGTATCTTATCAGCGTTCCTAAAAGCATGATCTAAAATTACAAGTATATCTCTCGAACCACTTAAGATTTCCAATACTGATTTGAATGTCTTTCCTTTAAAGAAGCAAAACAATGCATAGAGCAGAGGAGAGCTTTGGTACCAACTTTAAGTGGCCAGCGAGTCGGTCAAAAAGACCCTGAAATATCCCAACAGAAACAAGGGCCTCCAGCTGTCCAGGAGTGCAGTTATCTGTTTTACATCAAGCACCTCCATTAAATATGTGCAAAGCCAGAGGAAATGCAAAATGGCAGGGATCATTAATTATAAGGTGGCCACGCCCACCCCCTCCTCAGACTTCTAAACACAGAAGGAGGAAGTGAATTAGAGGGGAAGGTGTAGTTTTAAAGAAACTTCTTGACTTGCAGTGTTCCTTGGAGAGGACCCTCCAGGAGTCCAGAAAATGCTGGGAAAGAAACACAAGACACTACTGTTTCAAAGACGGATGGTAGCCTGATTAGCTTTTCCATGATACACTGGAAACGGAAATGCCCAAGTCAGGATCCATCTGTGTCACCTGATGACTCTTTTTCCTTGGCTCAGGGTTGGACAAAGTGTACGTTAGCGTTCCAGGAAAGCCCACTGAAGTTGGGCTGGCCAGGCCGGAGGAAACCACACAGCCTAAAGAAGTGCTAACTCTAAACTGACATCCAAGGCCGATCACCTGAATGGCAGAAGGAATCCTTTGTTGCTGAAGATCTTCTAATTCCTGGGATTTGGGCAATCTGATTGTAACAGGGTGGGGTGGGCGGGGAGGGGCTTGTTAGTGAATGCTCCAGAAGGAAGCCGAGACCTTTCATCTGCAGGAGGGAGAGGAAAGCCTCCCCTTCAGGTGGAGCTGGGAGGCAGAGCTGAGCCCTCCCCAGCCCTCCGTCAAAAGGGGGGTGGAATCAGGGTATTAGCAGGCATTGTTGAGGAACAGCGTGAGCCCCAAGCACTGCCCTCCCAACCCATGTGTCCTTCTAGCACCTTGACTATTCAATAAAACAAACAAAACCTTGGAGGGGGAGCGTGGCAGGGGCCCAGCACAGGAAAACCCTGCTTTTATTAAAATACTAACTTCCCTGATCAAGTGGATGGATTTGATTGATGTGGTTCACTGTTCCAAAACTAATTAGCAAAAGGTAAGTAATTTATTCAGCTAAAGTGCAGATTAAAGAAGATAAAGCAATGTAATAACCAGCACGGCTCCAGGAGGACCCTTTGCAGCATTTAATGGCATCACCCGTGAAGATTCATAGAGGCCATCCTTCTTTTTCCCCTTCCTTAAGCTGTCATTGTTCTTGCACCAAATGATGTCTAAATGTTCTTCATGAGCAACATTTTGAAATGGTTGGAATTGAACCGTACAATTGCACGCAAGTTGTTTAGAAATGTTCCCAGAGTACTATCTGCCCCCTCACTGTATGAATTTACATGACTCCATCAGAGCCAATTGAGGCTAACATTTGAGTGCATTCGTTCTTATGTGATCATAATATTCCAATTAGGACACCAGGCAAGATAGATACAGACTGAATGGGAACTGGCTCAGCGTTACGCTAACAGTTAGCTCCAAAGTGGAAAATCGTAGCCTTCATTCGAAGATAAAATCAACGCGCCAAGTCTGACTTTATGGTGTGCGTGAGGCGTGCACACGAACTCACAGACTGCAACTGCTCCCACCAGCCCTGAGACTCCTGAAATCGGGGTCTGCTTGGGCCGTCCGCATGGGCTTTTGACGTAGGTCAGTTTTTTTCAGTTCGGAAGACATGAAAATAATCTATGCCAGTATCGGTAGCCAGGGAAGATGGATTCCTGATCAGGCGACTAAGTAGCTGTGGGACCTCGGTGTAGTTAATTGTTTAACCTCCTCGCCAGGCCTCGAGATCCTAATACAGAAGATCCCAGTGTTAGAATTAAGTAGTTTCGTACACCAGAGCCACGGGTATATATGTTTTCAGAAATCTTGCGGCAACCACCTCATTTATTTTCTTAGAACCAATTCACTTGTTTTTTTCTTTAATTCTAATAAAAAGGGGACAGTCAGCATACCCCAACATGAATGGACATAACAATAACCCAGTAGAACCAGCCATCATTAGAAAGTCAGTATAAAAACCTCCATGCCTGGTTATCAGGCAATACTTGTCTCTGATCACCAAAAGAGAGAGGAGAGACTCATCTTGTATTCTAGCCTCTTCTTAGAAGTTTTTCTCGAATAATCAAATATTATTTGGGGGAAGGGCACACTGGCCTAAAGCAACCCAGATTAAGAGTATTTGGGATAACCTGATGAAATCACGAATAAAGAAGCAGGGATCAGAGAAACGTAACACATTCGACCATCAGTCCCGGAGGGGATGACCTTCTCGCTGCATTTTATGATGTCATTGTTAACAGTCCTTTCAAAAATCACTTTAGCTAGCAATAAAGTGGTTCCACTGCGGAGACCACAAATAAATACCCGCAGCAGTATGGGGACACGGTGTCATGCTTCTGAGAGAACGCACACACGTGGTTTGGGAGAAACTTTCTAGGGACAGCATCGCACAGATACAAGGCGAACAGCACGTAAACGGCCCCGCAGCAAGGACACTGTGTGCCCACAAAGCTGACACGGTCTTCTAATTACAACTCAAGGGCCGGAGGACCCAAGGACCGTAGACGCTTCTAAAAAAATGGAAGGTAGTTAGCTTAAGATCACGTGGGTGGTAAAAACATACAATACGTCTTAAGCCAACGTACTCGGCGTATCATTTCAAATACGTAAATAAAGTTTATAAATGCGGGGGTTTGATGCTTTCTCTGAGCTCCCTGAATGGTTTATACACGCAAGTTGGCCGAAAGGAAAAAGGGGATCTTCTCATTGAGAAAGGAATGGAGATTACCCTGGCTCGCCTACAGCTCAGGCTTCTCAGTAGAAAGGAAATATAGTAAATGAAACAATTGCTATCAAGGGAAAAAAAAAAAATTCTAGCAAGATACCAGCTGTGAGCCTGAGGCCATTTCCTCTTTCCTCAATGACAAATTAGCACCAGACAGATTTTTTCTTTGAGGTGATCAGAAGGGCTGAAACTTTTCTCGCTGTGTGGGTCCCTGCCCTCTACTTCTTAAAAAAAAAAATCTCACATGGCATCATGTGGGCCTCCGTTGGAGGGGGATCACCTTAAAAGGGGGTCTCTCCGTCTCTAGCACTGACTCCGCCATCAACATTCTGTGGCTCTAAAACGTTAAGCAGCAGCCCTATCATTTTCCAGCCAGGATATTCCACGGGTTGGTTTCCAGACTGGTCGGCGAGATCATTGGGGGGTGCCGCTTACTACCTTTCGCACTGAAAGCACGGACCAGACTTCTGTCCGCACTACCCGTCTCCTCCCTCTTCACCTGTTCTTGTCGCACCGAAACATCTGTACTGCGGCGTGACAGAACACACAGCCTGCGTGCGGAGGACAAGCAGCTGAGTGTGCATCAGCGGGTGCAAAGCCTGTCAGCTACCTGGCTCCAGGCGGCTTTCCCGTGACAGCTTTATGGCCGACACTAAAGAAGAATCAATAGGAGGGCAAGGGGTTGACATTTCATTTTCTAAAAAGTGATCCATTGAGGACCAATCACCAAGCGGTGTTTATCAGCCTTGGGAAGTGACATTTTTTTTTTAATGGGGGAGAAGGGACAAGAATCATCGCTGGGTAACTCGACAGGCTCAATTCTCGAAGGTGGGGACTCATAATTGGAAATCCGATGCATCCTCCTATCCATTCTGTCCTAAAGAATAAAGTGATCAATAAAGGCAGCACGGAAATCAAGTCATCAAGTTTGCGATTCTATGTTCTATAGCTCCAAGCTTTTAATAAGCCTGTCTTCCTGCATGACATTTTCATGCGCTTTTCCTTTCTTTTTGTCAAAGCAGAACATCCGGAAGAAACTTAGGATGGGGTGACTTCTTCCTAATTATTCCCGTTGCTTTGGTATCGTTAAGGTAACTTGAAAAGACAAAGGTAACGCTAAAGAAACGCTGGTCGCATAGACGAAGGCTCCCATCAACATCAAAGAGGAGGTTGAGACACAAGACGGGACCCACTTTCTGCAAACGAGTATCCTCTCAGATGGTTCCGAGCATCACATGGTGCTGAATTTTAGCCAAATGTTATTTTGAGGTGAAGGAAATTAAGAATTTTTTTCGTCGTTTGAGACTTTTAAATGTCTTTCCTTTCTGCTAAAAATTATTGCGATGCACCGTCAAATTTTCAGAGGCGGAAATGTGTGATAATGAAAGCAAGAGCCCATGTGATTTTCATAACCCCCCCCCATCCCGCCATCAGAAATGGATATAGATTATTGCACACAGTTGCCCGTGTGTTTGTGTGCCCGCCATGTGGACATACGCAAGACCCAAAGGCAATGGACAAGCAAGAGGTTCATCCTGACTGACTTCCACAATCAAATGCCAGGAAAGGTAAGTCCGTCTGGAATTCAAATTCTGGGGGCGCCTGGGTGGCTCAGTCGGTTGAGCGTCCGACTTCGGCTCAGGTCATGTTCGCGCGGTCTGTGAGTTAGAGCCCCGCGTTGGACTGGCTGCTGCCCAGTGCAGAGCCTGCTTCAGATCCCCCTTCCCCTGCTTGCATGCTCTCTCTCTCTCTCTCTCTCTCTCAAAAATAAACATTTTTTAAAAAAATCTTAAAGAAAAAAAGTCAAATTCTGTTTAGGCCAAATTGAAGTTTCCAAAGACTGAGATATAGCAATATATGGGTGCGACAGGCACGTCTATGTATGTTTCATGTATGTAACACAGCAAAAGGAATAAGCCGTTCGAGGTTCTTCGGGATGGAACTCATGGCTCTAATCAAACATGCTGCTATGGACTTTGCACCGAAAAGAACAAACACAATGACAAATGTAGGTGGTGCGTGCTCACGATGAGTCTTGTTCCATACTGTAGGAGAGTGACCGTGATTGATTTCTACAATACTGGACATTCAGGACAGTGGGAGAGGAGGCATGATATTAATAAATACATGTGACAACTGAGACCATCCGGGCAAATTAGGATATACAGTCATCACCCTAATTATAAAGTATCACAAAGTGAAGAAAAAGCACCATGGCTTGCTCAGGCCAGTGGCAATGGCCAGAGGCATTGTCGTGATATCACCGAGTTAGTTCACCAACAGCAGAGGCAGAGAGAGACAGGATACAACGGACCCTAGCCAGGGAGCCGAGCATGGCTACTGGGTAAGCCAATAGTGGGTCTCCTATTAAGGCAACGCAATGATCCTAGACCAGTACTGCGCCTTTCTGAGATCATTTTCCTCTTCTATTACATGAAAGCGGTTATGTTTAAGATGATCGTTTTTGACATCCCCAGGTTCTGCTTTTCTTTTTTTTTTAATTTTTTAAATTTGTTTTGCCAAAAGCTCCACCTTGTGAAATAGCGGACAGCATAGGGGAGTGAAGGTTGGAGAAGCCTAGAAGTGGGCACATATTGGAGCTAAGTGGCCGTCCCCCCCCCCCCCCCCGCCCATTTCCTCGGGAGCCTCTGGGGAGGGCAATAATCAAAAACATCGGCTGCCTGGTCATTTTCATTTCTCCCTCTCTTTTCCAGATTGTTTTTCAAGTATCAAGTTAGTTTGTAGACTTTCACAGAAGAACAAGTAATCTGCTGTTTTAGATTCATCTCCAAGAACAGTGCGATGCCCACAGCATGCTTAACGGTTCTCCTTGTTGATGGCCTTTCCTGAAAGACGACTGAGCGCGGAGCCCAATTATTTGCTTTGGTTGCAATTATTATTCACCGAACTCATGTTGAAGCACCTACTGTGTGCTGACTTCTCTACTTTACCCATCAAAATTCTGTCAGTAACTCTTACGGGCAGATCTTCTAAGATCCTCTATCCCTACTTTATAAAAGGGGAAAAAAGACGGAAAGAGTTTAAGTAATAGAGCTGACCAATGGTAGGACTCAAATTTTGGACCCACGTTTTATATGGCTTCTTTTTTGCTTTGGCAGTAAGTCCGAGCTTAAGAGAGGTATAAATGTAACACCTTACAGCTCAGAGTATCTAGAAATCTCTCATTGGCTTGCTTTTCGGCTGGGTTTCCAGGAATTAGCTGGGTCTTTCCAGGACTCTCAGCTGCCACCAGTCACAGCCAACAGCTCCAGCAGGGACGTGGGGAGATCAAAGCCAAGAGCAAGGAGCTGGCCACCGCACATGCCCTGTTTATGATGTTAATCAAAAGCCTGGGCTTTGTGGGGAGGAGACACAAAGCTCCCTCATAAAAACCCGAGATGGGGGGTGGGGTGGGCAGTGAGTGGCTTAAGTGCTTACCTCCTGCTGATGACAAAAGCCGCAATGAGAATGACCACCAGCACCACACTGCCTGAGACGGAGACCAGGAGGACTGTGGAGTTAGCCCCATCTCCGATGATCCGGGAGGGCACTGGCAAAGACAGTGACACAACAATCACCTCTGGGAAGGTCCGAGGAGCTAGAACGTCTGTCTGCCTGGGGCACAAGTTCCAAAGTGCTGAAGCCATGTGGACCGCTCAGAGCCTCTCTTGCCCTTCGGTAAGTGCTTACACAATGGGATTTCTAAGAGAGCTTTAATGGGATGAAGACGTTCTCTGTATCACTGCATGAAGAACTTCAACCAGAAGATTCTTCTTAAATCCCCTGGTAAACATTACCGCCCGTTGTTTTTCTTCTTCCCATTTCTAGTTTCAGCCCTAACGCTTATTTAATGATCTGGTGCGTTCCTTAGTGAGAAGCACACTTGGAAATTTCAAAAACGACAAGCAGGTTTGAATACTTACCCACCCCTCACCCCAAATCTATCAAAACCCTGCTTACTATTGCCCAGCTCAAAAGCCACGTCCTCTTTGAAGCCTTCCAGGAATATCCCCCCAAAATGTCAAACCCCTTCAGATTCAATTCTAGAGTACTTCCTCTTCTGTTTTTATATTCATATTTTATTTCACAACTTGTGAATAAAATTACTTTCTAGAACTGACATTGAAAATTCTTCTCTACCGTCTCCTTCTCAGGTAAGCTCAACTTTGGTTGGTTAATTACACAGGGGGAGCCATCTTATGGAAACTGCTTACTCATCGGGCATGTCCTTTGTTAACATTTTCCATTCAATCAATTAGTTGGTCCAACTCACAATGTTGAAAGATTTGATATATTGGTCCAAAGAGGCTTTAAAAAAAAAACCGATCTGACTTGGTTAAAACAGATTCCCAGAAAGAAATAAAAGGGGGGGGGAGGGGCCCCTTCTTTACTCTTCCCAGGGAGGAAACTTCCTATCTTAATGCAAGAGAGCAATGCAAGGCTCAATCGGTCCACTTAGCAGCCCCATCTTTCATCATTTATAGAAGACTCAAAATAAGAAAATAAAGAAGAAGAAGAAGAAATTTTCAATCCTACAAAAAGACGGGTTGGATCATACGAAAAATGCTCTTTTCTAAATAGCACGGGATTTTCCAAGTTACAGACGTCTTATTTGCACGCAGCGTCCGTTGCAACAGAACGTTTGCCTGCCCCAAGATTAGGTACAGCTCCTTGGATTTCACTGTAACGGGGTTTCACCTAGACTGTAAAAAAGGGCCTCAGCAGCTGATACCTGTGTTGGTCGTGACCTCTAGGGGCTCACTGAAGTCTCCGTAGCCGGCTGCTGTCCTTGCTCGCACATGGAACACGTAGGAAGTCAGAGGATTCAGGCCTTTGATATCTGTGTTTCTGGCGGCCGTCCGGACGATCCGGTAGCTTCGCTCATTCTGATCCTGCGTCGTGGGGACGATAAAATTGGGGAAGGTGGTAAATAAATCCCTCACCTATTCTAGGCCCAATTGTAAAGGAACCAGGCCAGGGCGCTCAGAAGTTGAAAGTAAGTGGAGACTGCTAAACTCTCTAAGCCTTATATTCTCTTTGATGTGGGAAGTACCACTGTTCCATGTTGGATGTGGAAAGACACGTGGAGTTCGGGTATGATCGCCATCGACGCTGACCATATCCGGACCCTTACTTACAATCTTTTTTGAGAAGAACATCAGACGATGGTTGGTGGCTTTTCTCACTCCACAGTTGACCATTTAAGAGAAATAGCTGTAAGAAGTTCTCTTGTCTTTTTCTATTTTCTGTCTAGAAAATGTCAGAAATGTTGTAATCTGGTTTCAGTGAAAAATAAATCCTGCCCCTTTTCTGCTTTTAATAAGGAAGCCAATAAGTGATTATCTTTAAAAAGAAAGAGAAGTCAATTGCTCATTTTCTAGACAATCTTGAATGCAAATAGCTCTCTTCAGAACCCTGTCCTTTATGAGAGACAAGTTATTTGTAAAAATAATGTCTTTCTATAACTTTAAGAGGCTGAAAAATGTAATTTTCCTTCCCCGATTTTCTATTAAAAGTCATCAAAACCCACACCTTGATTCTGAATAGCAGTGATCTACTTAAACAGATCATTATTTCGACTTTTATGAGTCACTCTCACTGACAGAAGGCTTATATATAAGAACTTCTTCGCTATCTTGATTCCCATTACTCGAAAGGAAAAAAAATGGGTTATATTAGAACACAATATATTTTTCCTATTTTTCAAGATAACTGATTTAATACATAAAATTCATAATTGGATTCGATTGGGGAGCAAAATGCATTTGGTTTTGAAATTCACTGGTACTCTGGATTTACAACTGGCTAAGAACTAGAGAGACAAAGGAAGAAAGGAGGGAAGGGAGAAAGGGAGGGAGGGAGGGAGGGAGGGAGGGAAGGAACAGAAAGAAGGAAGGAAGGAAGCTTGCTCATCCAAGTAATACCTTCTCGTAATACTTGACTTCATACTCCAAGATCACCCCATTGGGTCTATCTGGTTCCAGCCAAGCCAGAGCAACACTGTACCTTGTGACTTCTTTAGCCTGGACCAAAGCAATGGACGATGGTGCTATTGGGAAAACAAACAAACAAACAAACAAACGAAAACAAAAGACATCTTGCTTTAACGGGGGAAAGAAAATGGCGGTCTCAGTCAATAATTTCATTCTACTTAAGAAGAGTGTCAAGGATTGTCTTGTCGTCCCCCCCCCCCCCCGCCCCCGGTCCCCATTTCACTCCTTCCCAGGACAGAGGCGCACCAGTCATACGATTCTCTTCAATACTGTGGCATACGGTTTGTCTTAGAAAGATAACCTCTGAAGTAAGAGCCTGGTCGGTCCACAGGCCTGTGGCGTCACCTCCACAGAGTTTGCAGCCATGTCTCACAAAAGGCTGGAGGTACAGAGAACACCGCCTGCTTCTTTATTTTGGCCAGCCAGGAAAGGCACTGGAAGAGCTCCTCTTGAGCTGAGTAAAACTGCACCTCATCCCACCTCCAGAGTCATCTTACAGATCTTTAATTTTATACCAGCAGGGGAATTTGCAACTCTTCCCGGAGTACTGTAGGACATGCAAAGAATCTATATCCTTTCCAACATAGATAAAAGTACTGTTCCATTGTAGCTACGTCTGCCGTGTGGCACGATGATGTAAATTATGATGAACCCAAATAAAGCGACGACGTTCTCTCTGCACATGCGTGACGTTTTGCAGCTATTTTTACAGAAGCTGAGATCTTGCTTTTGCCTCTTGAGGAGCAAACTTTCTTCATTCCCCGAAAACAGACACAAAAACGGTCCTCTACCAGGTGTGTTGTGGGGGGGGGGGGGGGAGTATTTTGAGATCTTTAAAACCAGGCTGCCCTCTGCTTCCTTGTGACGGTCACATCTCCAGCCCGCTGTTGTCGAGCTCTGCTGTGACTGACAATGAGACACAAATGTGCCATTACAGGGAGAAGAGGGGCATTCATGAAATCTGTAATCTTACCTAACAAAGCTGGTCTGTACAACCAGAGATTAAGGGGATCTTCCTAAATTGAATGCATATACTTGTTTGTTACCAAATCGGGGGAAAACGCGAAAACAGACATCAAACAATGGCCCCTGGGGAGCAACATCATAGTGTCCTGCTCTTTCCCAGCACACACACGACAGCCAAACCCTAACTCAGAGGAAACAAGAGAACAAGTGAAAATTAATTGTCACTAAAAATGAACCGGGGCTAACTTCAAACACGCTTGACCATATCTGACAGGTATCTTGATGGAAAGGAAGGCAACCAGAGATGCCATCATCCCACAAGGGAACCTTCCAGCTCAAGTTAATCCAGCAGGGAGCACCTCCCGGAGGCCTGGAGTGGGCAGCCTGGCATCTCCCTTAGGGGTGCTTCAAGAGGGCGCGTGCGCGTCCCCACGCGCGGGCACACGCACCCACCCTGCCCTATTTCTCTCTCCCTCTCCTTCTCCCCCGAAGCTATTCCAGACTGAATCTCAGGCATAAACACAAGTGAAAGATACAGTGGATACACATGTCCTCCATCAAAGGCAACCCCAAGGTTAGTAACAATACCCAACTGGATGCACAGAGAGCTGTGTGCCACAGCCATATGGAAGCCACTGAACATCTGAAGAAAATGAAAACCGGAAATGTGCTCATTAGCGGCATTAGGCTTCCCTCCCCCAACACACACAGACGCACACGCACGTTTTCCCTCTCTCTCTCTCTCTCTCTCTCTCTCTCTCTCTCTCTCTCTCCTTCCCGGTTGACACGGAACCATTGTCCAGCAAAATGCCAGCAGTGACTTTCTGAAATACGGAGATCGCAAGAAGGCTAAGAAAGCTGCCCGGCTGTGAAAAGCTATTTCACTCCAGGTAATAAATACACTGCCTAAGAGAGCACTTTAGCATACACTCCATAAAAAGGGGCTCTTTAAACTCCGATGTTCGGGATTGGAAAGTGAAACAGAAAAGCAAGGACTTTAGAAAGAAAGCGGTGGGGGTGGGGGTGGGGGGGGAATCATAAAGTTATAAAATGGACTTTCTCTCAGAAACGGCCTGGGTTAGATCCTGATTAAGTGGCAGATTCCTCGGGAAAGAATTGCCCGGCTGCCCTTGGGGCGCACTGACGAACCGAGCTGGGTTTCTCTCTGGTTGGGTTACCGCTAAACTGCTGCACGTGGGCCATGAACCTGATTTCCATTTTAGAAGGTGGGGCGGCAGGGTTTCCGTGCCCACTGAAGGGGAAGATGAACGCAACCGAAGTGCTCACAATATCGCAGGCAGGGAGTTCACAACACAATCACGTGCACTAATAGAATATCCCTAATGCGGCTCGAGGCGGAGAATCCGTGCGCACAAATGTGCAGATAAACCAACAGTGCGCGCTCTGGCTCGGCTGTCATAAAAATGGGAGTAAACGAGACAGAAAGAGAAATGCAGCGTCCTTCTAATTCCCGAAAGGTATTATGCCGTGTGGCTGTCATGTCTGAAGTCTTTCTGAACGGACGTGTGCAGGAAAGCCTGTGTACCAGGCCACAGCGACAAAGGCATTCCGTCGCCAAGTGAGATTGAGGAAATATACCAACTGCACAGCAGTCTAACAGGGCAGCCCTTCCTTCCCCGGAGGAGAGCGTCTTACCTTCGCTGGCACAAAGAACACCAGTCTGGAAAACTCTGGGCTTCACCGCACTGCCACTCTGGAGGAAAGAGGCAATCTGGATCCGCGCCACATCGTAAGCCACGTAGGGGGTTCTTCCCTCGCCCTTCCTACCCTGCTTCCAATCCAGCCTCCAACTCCACATCTGGAAGCCATCGCCTGCCACGTGGGCCCGGCTGCAGCTCGCTTCCCCAGATGAGGCAGTTGGCAATGGCACTTCTCGATCGTTCTCCTACCCCAATGGTCCCCGAGCTCGTTTTCTCATGCCGTCCATGTAGCTGCTGCCGCATCCCTCTGCGATGGGTACTGTGCTTTCAGCGATAATTTTCTTGAGCCAACACCCTCTATTGACTGGAGTTGTACTTAAAAAGAAAGCCCCATTCCTGATATACATGAAATCTTGTTATCACTGGCAGTTAATAGCGGGTAGCCATAAGAATGAATATGGAAATAAACAATGCTATCAAGGTTGGCTGGACATTCTTGCCTCCTCTCCGTGCCTTACCAAAAATAGAGATTAGCCCTGGGTGAGAGACGCATTAAGGATAATCCCTGCACCAGGCTGAGATTCTGGAGTCACTGAGAGAGAACTGGGAAGAAACAAACTTTCACACAGGGCAACTCAGTATTACAGAACGGTCCACGTGGACTTTCACTAACATGATCTCTGACGCCACCATTGGGATGTTTCCACATTTTGGTAAATCCTGTAAAGTCCTTGTCAATTAGAAAGTTTCGGATCCCGGGTCCAGACACCCAGGGCTCTGTCCTCTGCTAACAAATTTGCAAGACGATCTACTGATAGAATAACAGATTGAACACTCTCCTCCCTCAAAGATAACAAATCGGTGCCTTAGTTCCAAAGAGGGCCCCTCACCATAGGGGAAATTTGGGTCAACATAAAAACACCAAGCAGGGGGTGGCTGGGTGACTCAAGTCAGTTGAGTGTCCACTGTTGGTGTCAGCTTGGGTCACGATCTCAAGGTTCGTCCGTTTGAGCTCCACGTCAGACTCCGTGCTGTCAGTGCAGAGCCTGATTGGGATTATCTCTCTCTCTCTCTCCCCCTCCCTCCCTCATTCTTTCTCTTTCTCTCTTAAAATAAATTAAAAAAAAAAAAAAACTTAAAAAAATAAAATAAAACACCAAGCAGAAAAAAGGTCCTGCTTGCCTCTCAGTTCTCTGGCTTACATTCTGAAAACCGTGGACACATAGTTTTTCCTCAGTACTGACTAATTCATCCACTAAGCACATACTTAGTGAGCACCAAGAGAACAAGGAAAAGCTGGGAAGGGGCAGACAAATCGGAATCAAATCCAGTCCGTGGTATCAAATTAAGACCCATCGTATCCATCAGCTTGTTTTTTAAGTTTATTTATTTTGAGAGAGAGAGAGAGAGAGAGAGAGCGGGAGGGGCAGAGAGACAGGAAGACCCAGAATCCGAAGCAGGCTCCAGGCTCTGAGCTGTCAGCACAGAGCCCGGTGCGGGGCTCGAAATCACGGACCGCAGATCATGACCTGAGCCGAAGTCCGACGCCCAGCTGACTGAGCCACCCAGGAGCCAAAGGAAATTTTTATGATAGTCTCACAGAGAAGACACCCATTTTCTAGAACTCAAGAGGAGACAGTTCCTGGTAACCTCTTCTTTTCCAGATTCTCCCATAGTGATGGACAGAAGTACGAGGTGAGGTGGGCGCTTCCTTACCCCACTGTGGTTTTAGACACGCCATACACCTGCTGAAGAGTCAGAGGAAAAGTCGGGAGGAAGCGGAAGGCTGATGAAAGTATCCTCAGTTGAAGAAAAAGACACGTCTTAGGTTGGAAGCATTCCTACCTACCCACAGACTTCCCTCATAAAACAGATGTTTGCTTTAAGGAAAGTTTTGTGCCCCCGGACATAAGGAAGAATTCTTCCGGGGCTAGAATTTTGGAATAACACACAACTAGGACAGCTGGTCATGCTAGTCAACAGTAACATGGTTGAGAAAGATGACTGATGGATGTGAACATCACAAAGGCAAGAACTACTCTGGGGTAGTTGGAAAGAAAGGTTTGTGACTTAATTCAATTAAGTCCTTAATTTTCAAGTGTTAGGAGCAGTATTTCCAATGACCGACAGATGTCCACTTTCCTGTCCTCAGATGCTGTCTGTCATCTGAGACCACATCCTATTAATCTCAAGGGTATTCGGTAGTTTTGAATCCAAACCATATTCTCTATTTCCTTTCCTTTTCGCTTACAAATCGCGCTGACATAACCGTTCAGTCATTCGACAAATGCCCTTTAAGCCTCTGCTCGAAGAACTTAAAATCCAAAGAGCTAAGGAGGCTTTTATGTTTAGACAGTTAAGCGCTCTCTGGCTAAATAAACATGGTGGCTGAGATGAGAAGCCAGGATAGGCAGGAGGGCATCGCAAAT